CCTCCAGGGTTTGCGCAACTGGCAACTTCATTTTTGTGAATTTATTTTCTATTGTTGATGCTAATCTGATGGCTTTCAGGCAGCCAGCTAGCAGAAAAGAAAACATTTTCTCTGCTGACACCAGTGTGTCCAACATCTAAAATATCTTTTGTAAGAGTCCAGGTCTGGTGTTTCATTGCATGGCTTGGGATAGCTACCAGCTCTTGCCAAAGAAACTGGAAGTCTTGATGGATATCGTTCAAATTTTATATTTTGTGGGTTGTCAGATCGGCATGAGACACTCAAGCTGTTTCGTCTTAATTTCTAGACATCTATGACCTCTCCAGCTGTCATGCCGAGTTAGGGAGGGCATGTGTCTTTAGGTTATCTTCTGCTCCCTGAATCATTTGGAAATGAGGAGCATCCTCTTAACAGCCCCCAGTAGTGCCACTAAGCTAAGGTGCCATCAGGGCTTTTGTTGCAACCTTCTCTTTCCAAAGTCTATAGCTTGGCCGCCTTTTAAAATTGTTCTGAGTCTTAGCAGAGGTGACAGGTTGGAAGCAGTCTTATTGAACCAACTTGGGAGATGATTTGATTGTGGAGGGAGGCCAAGAGAGCAAACAGAAGTTCAGTGTTTTCTGCTTCAGTAAAAAGCAGCCGCTTACCCTGCGAATGGAGGGTTCCCTTCTGGTGTTCTCGGCCCTTTGTTCCCTACGATGCATTGCATCATGGGCCCCGTAGAATCGATTTCTCTCTGCTGAGAGGAATTTGGGGAGGGAAGAGTGTGAGGACATCAGAACGGAGGCTGGGAATTGGTCTGTGGGGGCGGAGAAATTACCCAGTTTATCTGTATAAAGAGCATCTAACCGGCCATCTGCCTATTGCTCTGATTACTTGGTTCATATATTTGTAACTCTTCCCCTCACTCAGTGTTTGTCCTAGACACTGCGCTTCTCAGTGCGGGCCTGCATTTCCCCTGTGCCATTTGAGGCACCCCCACAATATAAAGGATGAGAATCGCAGTGGACTAGTTCACACCGGATCTGCACTTTGGATTGCTTAATATCTTTGTAACTCACGTAACTTCTTTGTCAGCCTTGATCTTGAAAGACTCGGGCATTTTTATGGCTAATACTGTGTTGTTCAAAGACCAGCTTCTAACTGCTGCTAAACTAAGGCCTGGTCTACACTTAAACATTAGATCGATCTGGCTACCTTGCTCAGGGCTTTGAAAAATGTCACATCCTGAGTACCGTAGTTAGGTTGACTTAACCCAGGGTGCGGATGTGGCTAGGTCGATGGAAGAATTCTTCTGTTGGCCTAGTTTCCGCCTCTCAAAGAGGAGGATTAACTACCTGGACAGAAAAATCCCTTCCTTCTATGTAGGAAAGATCTACACAACGGCACTACAGCACCATTGCTGTACTGCTGCAGAGGCTATAGTAAACGTGGCCTCAGCTTTTTAAGAACCTTCCCTCTTGTTTTGCCACTGACTGACTCCTCTTTTACATAGTGACAATGAAGTGACTTGTCCCACTGAAGTGCTAAAAGGTTACCACGTCTGGTCGAAATACAGAACTGGGAGTGATGCTAGCCATATATTTCATGGAGGGGTGGTCCCTGTGATGGAGGGGGCAAGGTGTATTTGCCTTTCACCTGGCTAGAATAGCATGGGGAAAAGAGACAGGAAAAAACTTGTGAGGTGTCTGAGCACATTTGGGCCCTGATTCAGAAAATCACTTAAGCACATGATTACAGTCTCTAAGTATCTGTACTGGGGAAGAACTTTTCTGATCATGGACAGCTGTTTAATCTAGCCGAAGGCGTAATGAAATCCATTGGGTGGAAGCTGAAGATGGACAAAGTCAGGCGAGAAATAAGGTGTAAACTTTTACATTGAAGGTAATTAACCATTGAAAAAAACTTACCTAGGGCTATGGTGAGTTCTCCATCACTTGAAGCCTTTACATCAGGACTGGCTGTCTTTCTAAAAAAAAAAAAAAAGTGCTCTAGTTCAAACCTAAATTATGGGCTTCATGCAGAAATGGGTGGGTGAAGTTCTGTGGCCGTGTTTGTGAAGGAGATCAGATTAGATAATTGTAATGGTCCGTTCTGGTTTTAAAATCTATGAATCAGATGCTTCAGTGCTTTGCTGAATAGGATGAGCTTAAACTCATGTTTAAGTTTAAGCAGGGGCTTAAGTGATTGGCTGAACTGAGACATTGATCTGCACAATGGGAAAGGGCTACGTTATGGCTGAAGAATACATTCTGAAGATGAGCAAACAGGCTTTGCGTGGCTGTGGCTAGCATTTAACTTCCTCTTATGTGGCTAGCATTTAACATTATTCACTGAACTGTCCAATGGTTTTAGGAATAATTATGGCTTACCTGGTGGCTGTAAGAACATAAAATATGCCAAAGGGGCTGTGTATTAGCGAGCGGGCTGATGTTAGCATTGTCTCTTCTTTTTTTTTTTAACCTCATCGGTGAACAAAAGTGGAGAATTTTGAACAGTTCACAGGTATTGTCTTTACTGTTTAATATTTTTAGACCGACGTTACGTTTATTAAAAATGCAAATCTGTTTTCTCAGCAAATGATAGTTCATTTGGGGAAGTCCCAGCATGTAAAGCATATGTGCTCTTTTGAGATGTGTATTCGGGAGGAGAGATAAGGAGGCAGATAGGTCCTGGCTCCTGCACCTCTAGTGCCAGAGGGAATAGAGCCAGGAGTGTCGTACTTCAGTGATAAGAAATACAGCTCGCTAACCATTAAAGTAAAGCCATTAATTCCAGTTCATATAGGATGTGATATGCATGTGGTAGGTATAGTCAAGCAGTTTGTAACTGTGTCACTTCCTAATAATAGACCATTGATAAGTCTTATGAGCTTCTGTTATAACCTAGTACCCATCTAACAGTTCTCTGTAGCAGTATCCAAGGTTACAGGAGTTCTTTACATACTTTCTTTTACATTCAAAGTGAAGTGAAGCATTTGACAGGTTTCTCTCACTCCCGTCCCAAACCAACCCTTTGTTCCATACAGAAAATGTAAAGCCCCTATGGTTGAATTCTCAGCTGTCAGCTGACATCAAATGAGGTTCTGGCCCCTAGAATTACTATTTAGAGGATCATTATGCTGGCTATTTTATAGTGTCACCTCAGTGAACCTATCAGAAAGGCATAGCAGTGGCGCATTTCTGCGCAAGATGAGAAACCTGGAACCTCTTGGGTTCTAATCCTGGCTCTGACACTGATTCCCTTGAGGCCTTGGATAGGTCTCTTATCCTCTCTGACTCAGTTTCTCCATTGGTGAAATGGAGAGTATCCTTATTTTTCTACCTCATGCACCACGGAGAGCAGGGGGATTAAGGAGAATGTAGAGTGTTTGGAAGAGGACCCGTCCTGTGGAAACACCAGGGAGTACTTAACAAATGCAAACTTTTTAAAGGAAAGTGAAGGTGAAGCTGTGTGTAGCTCAGTGTATGGTGGTGTCTAGTGGCCAGGCTGGCCAGCCCAGGACAGCCCATCCGGGGAATACAACCCCTTTGTCCGAGATGGCACGTACTTTGAGCGCTGGAGGAGATGGTCTGGGTTTAGTTTTTAACCCTGTACCCTTTCCTTTCATGGTCTTTCCTCCCCCTGGGAACACACCTGCTTGCATGGGCTCTCAGGAGTCCGGGCATCTGGAGAGGCAGGATGAGGAAGTACTTAGTGCCTAGTGAGCCAAGAGTGCTGGAGATTAATAGTGTCTTATTTACTAAGCCCCCTCCTCTCACTCACTCCCCCCATGGGAATATTATCCTATTGCACAGGTAAGGAAGCAGAGTCCGAGAGTATCATTTTTCTGAGGTCACACGGGGGGTCATTGTAACAACCAGGATTAACGCTTGTGACTTCCTGACTCCCAGCCCTGGGTTGGGACCCCTAGACCAAGCCTCCCTAGGATGCCTGCTCATGTGACAACGCCCAAGAGCTGTTTGTTGTCCTGGAGAAAGAAGGAGCCTACGCACCCCAGGGTGGGGAGTGGTTGCACTTCTCTCAAGGTGACCCTTCCCCACTCTCCTAGAGGAGGCCTGAAATACTTTTACAACCTACCTCTTTTGGCAGCTGTATTATAAATGGGACCTTCTCCCCATCCCTCCAGATCAATTCAACGGAGCGGTTTCCCTGTGGGTCATAAGGCAGCACACCTTTCCCTCATGCTATGCATTTTCCAAAGCAGTTCTCTCTAAGAGATGCCCACTTGCAGTACCTGCACCGTTTCCCAGACCGCGATGCAGGAGCGAGCGGTGCAGTGTGGGACGCAAGGACTGTTACGCCAGGGATCTCTTTGCATGCGGTGCTGACATGGGTTAGTTTTGCTGGAAGAAAGTCTAATCCAAGCAGCATTTGGCATGTGTGTGGGAGCATGAGGTGTCTGACAGGTGTGCTGGGGTGGGGGTGGGGGGACGACACTGTAAATCTCTCCGGTGGCACAACGGCCTTGTCTGTGCTAGGCATTCAGCCCGTAGGGGTTACCTAGTGTGAGATCTGCAGAAGCTGAGGTGTCGCTGCTTAAACGTGGACAAGTGGAACTATCTCAACTGTTGCTTCATGACAAAACCGTCTAGTTCCCAGGCGATGGAAGGGAAGGGTGAGGTGTGTATTGGTAGAACACTGGTGCTCTTTGATAACGGAAGCTGCCTAGAGCTTAGCGGCACAGCTCAAACAGGTACAGTATGACTGCATGCGACTGGGAAAAGCTCAGCAAGTAATTGCACTGCCATCTCATTCCGCTCCTGCAATTACTAGCCATGCTACAGCCTGATAGTTTATCAGGCTCTGGCTACTCCATGAGAAAACATAGCCTTGCAATTAACAAAACTCATAAGTATTTTGCATCTTCTTTTCTTTTCTCTCATTTTCCTCATTGAAATAATCTGCTCTGCAAGGTGTGAATGGGAGGGGATTGCTGCAGACCGCATCCAGTTTGTTTTGTTTTCTCCACCCACCACGAGTTCTTTTTTTCCCTCTCATAGTGTGGACGGAATGCGGAAAACTTCGACCGATTTTTCACTCGCCATCCACCCGTCTTAACTCCACCTGACCAGGAAGTCATCAGGAACATTGACCAATCAGAATTCGAAGGATTTTCCTTTGTTAACTCTGAATTTTTAAAACCTGAAGTCAAGAGCTAAGTAGCTGTGTAGATCTCATTCCTGCATCTTTATCACCCAGTCCCAACAGCTGTTGTGGTGACATTCTTCATTGCAAAAGTTGCATTCATGGTTTTTCTTTTGTAACGATACTAGAGTGACCATGTTTCAAAGCCAGAAGTGTCTTCACATAATTTGGGACCTCTCTGAATGACAACTGTTGTGTGAAAAGTACTGCAATTTAATTATGTTTTAATCAAATTTTACTCCTAGCTAATATCAGTACATTGACCGACAGATCATTAAATGGGGTGTCTAACAGCTCTCCAATTACAGGCCATGACAATTGGGAGAAATCTAAATATTTGCCTTGCTTTCCCGTTCTTTCACTTATCTAGCCCTTTAATGTAATCACATGAAAATAGCTGCTGTCATTTCAGTCTGTTAGTGGCAAAGCAAGTGGTGTTCATTAAAACTTTACCTGGGAATTAAGTGTGGAACACTGAACTTTGCAGGCTTCTAATTAATTCTGAGTCTCCCCCCCCCCCCCCCAAAAGCAAATAGTTTGTCAAGAGATTGGACATGGGACTTCTTGTCTGACATGCAACCTTGAGTCCTTGTTTATTTAAAAACACTGCAAAATCTCTTGCCCTTTTTTAAAAATTTTTCATCAGACACAGCACTCCCTGATAGCAGTAATAAATAACTGGGGAAACCAAATCTATTGCTCACACAGATTTCTCCTGATTGTGCAGTTTCTTAGTAGCTTTTTTTATTAAAAGAAAGTGCATCATCCAGCTATAAAAGGAAAGTTTGAAAGAACCCTTGTAAATGCTTTCAAATCTATGGTCACCCTAGTAAACACCATACATGACATGGTTTTTACATTATTTCATATCAAACCTTTTTTTCTTTGGGTTTTTTTCAAATGCCAAAATGATTAATTCAGTTTGTTACATGCGCTTTAAATGTGTCAAAAATGGTATTAATGAAAATGAGCTGATATTTAAAGTCTAGCAGTATTGTGAAATCTGATGAAGCCTGTAAAGAATTTTGTTTTCACTAATATTCCTACCTTAAAGAATGTTGCTGGATATTTAAATAGTCTAAGTTTGTGTTCCTAGAATCCAAAAAAAGGAAGGGGGTGGAAAAAGCTTCAGGAAAGATGTTTCTCATGAAACAATGACAATCGTCTCACTTCCTTTTGTACCATTCTGCCAGATGTTTGTGGGCTGTCACTTTGAATCAAGCTGCTTTGAGCTGTAATGTGCCAATCTTTTTCCAATACTGATTATAAAATAAAAAATAAGAAACAACGTCAAAAAAAAACCCCTGCATTTATTTGTGAATGATGAATTTCAACACAGTCCTGCACTCTGAGATGCCAGAAAGCATGAGACTGAGTCTCAGTCGGGATGGAGTGGCTTTGGGAATCGGAATGTTACATGCACATCATCTCTGATTGCTGACCGTGTTTGAGTCCAACCTGGGATACCCCCAAGTTTCCAGGTCTGCTCTAAGGCCACAGCAGGCAGTAGCCCACATCACAATACCGTCTCCTCCACCCACAGTGTCACTGCCCAGCGTGTGGCCATAGGTCTGAGCTGAATTACCCCTTTCACTCCTGTAGAGTGTGTGTCCTTCAAGACAATGCATGAAGCTATCAACTGGCATCCTTCGGTGGCATCACCACCAATCTCTGCGGTATGTATAAAACAGTGCCCCTCCTCCCACCCCGCATTAGAACAGCCATACTGGATCAGACCAATAGTCCATCCAGCCCAGTGTCCTGTCTTCTGACAGTGGCCAATGCCAGGTACCCCAGAGGGGATGAACAGAACAGGGAATCATCAAGTGATCCATCCCTTGTCATCCATTCCCAGCTTCTGGCAAAGAGAGGCTAGGGACACCATCCCTGCCCATCCTGGCTAATAGCTATTGATGGACCTATCCTTCATGAACTTATCTAGTTCCTTTTTGCACCCTGTTATAGTCTTGGCCTTCACAACATCCTCTGGCAAAGAGTTCCACAGGTCGACTGTGTGTTGTGTGAAGAAATACTTCCTTTTGTTTGTTTTAAACCTGCTGCCTATTAATTTCGTTTGGTGACCCCTTGTTCTTATGAGAAGGAGTAAACTCCAAGATCTCAACTGCTGATTGAAGAGCGGGCTTTCTTGTTCTGAAATCCAGGTAAAATTCATTCTTTCTCTAGTGAGAGCTCAAGAAACCCCATCATCCTTGACACCCTCTGGGTTAGCTCTTTAAATGTCTTTAACAGTAAGTAATGATTACAGGATGAGGCTTTGAAGCTTCCAGAAATTTTAAGCGAAACTATCTCTATCAGACAGTGCATGGTGAGCCGGTGACTCATTACTGCATGTGTGTACTCTCAAGGGAGCCGTTGTTCAAAGCAATTGGTAGGTTTTTAGCTAGAGAGAGATCACAGGCATCTGCTAATCTCATTCTCCCAAATGCATACAAAATTCCTTTGCTTCCTCTGGAATTCCGCTTCTGCTGCATTATAGGAGCCTTTGAGCTCTGTAGGATTATTCTCAGGGTGCCAAATAAAGTACCAAACGCAGCAGGGGCTACCTGCTAGCCCCCTTCCTCTGTTCCAGCCCACATCACAGGAGATGCTGCTCAGTGTGGAACTCTTCCAGGCTATAAGAAAGGGGCACGGACAGGCACTGGAAATGACTGCTGAAGAAATTGTGACTGCCCCTCTAATGTTAAGGGAGACACAGCTGGGGGAGTGATTTTCTTTTAGGAGGAAGTTGCCCACATATAAACAGGCCTCTGTGCAAGACTCTGCATGTGGAATGCACGGTCCCAGCAGCAGCGGAGTACAGAAACAGCCTGAGCATTAGAAATTCACATTTGAATACATGCGGGAGGCTAAACAGGCCCCTCCTTCACCAGAATTCAAAGTGAAGCTGGACAGATTTGCATCCGACAGCTCCCGCTTCACCCTTGAGATGTACAGCGTCTCCTACACACAATCAGAAATGCAAAAAACCTGCCACCCAGCACATCTCCCAGAGGTCGAGGCAGGATTCGGTCCCCGTTGGTCTGGCTAGCCAAGTTTTACGCATCCCTGCCCTCCCTTAGCCAGGTGATTCCACAGCCTTCTGCATCCCACTGTCAGGAAGCTTTTCCCGCTACAGCCTCAATTTCCCTTTCCTAATTCATTCCAGTACCTCCCACTTGTACCCCCCTGTATCCCTTTCCCTGCTCCCTCCACAAACAAGTAACTTCCTTCCTCGGCAGAGGCGTAACTAGCATGTGCATGCGCACACACATCTTTAGAGAGAAATTCACAGTGAGAAGAAAGAAGTTATAATAGTTTTGCTCATCACTAAAGCAGAAACCACTTTGCTGCTCTCACCAGCTGGGGATTCTCTCTATGGATTTCTCTCCCAAGCCAGCGGAAAAGTGCAAGGGGTGAAGGGAAAGCTGCTGTAAAATATCCTAGCTGGTGAGGTCCGTACAGGAGAGACGGCTCCAAAGGGATGGAGACAGTCGTGCTCCAGCTTTATCAGCAGTTCTCTGCTATCAATCAACCAACGTTCCTGACCCCTTGAATGGGCACTTGCGGCGGGTTTTTCGCCTACACATGCCGTTGTTTCACTTTACAGATATCCCTCCATGCTGTGCTTTTGTAGCCTGGGAAGGGCCCCTGTGCGTCTTTCCATATGGCCTTTTGGAACCTGTCAGTAAAGTTGCTACTCCCAGCCCTTCCCTCTGCACGTGGAGCTCTAAGACAGCAGAGCTGTGCCAGTCTGGGCAGTTACTAGAGTTGCCAATTTTGATTGGACGTATTCCTGGATTAATCTTTAATTCCTGGAGACTCCAGGACAACCCTGGAGGGTTGGCATCCCTAGCAGTTACCCCCATTGGACCCTTTCGCCTTCCCAGTTTCACCGACGAGGAGTGCAGGGTCTGGCCCCTTGGGCCACCCGTCACTCGTCAAGCGGATGTGGAGCCCGGCTCATCAGCACGAGAGGAACAGGGTCCTTCTGGCCATGCCCTGGGGTGGGTAACACCCCGCTCGGCTCCCAGGTGCATTCCCATCTCCTCTTTCAGACAGAATCCCTGCATCCCAAACTGGCCCCTTCTGCTCCGTCTCCCCCCCACCCCATTATCCATGCCTTGCCCTGCACCCCCTCCTCACCTTTCCTGGGCAGGGGTGGGAGTGAGGTGAGGGGGGAAGCAATTACACCCCCCCCCCGCCGCTTCTCTCAGCTGCCAGCTGACCAAAGGCAAATGTTAGCGAGCCAGACTTTGGGGTGGGGGGGGGCAGACACAGGTCGGTGAGACAGGGCATCTGGTCACTTCAAGGGTGGGGGAAGGCCGGGGGCATCTGCTTGCTTTGAGTGGCAACCAAGCACGCGGTCACTGTCTTCTCCCTGTGAGCCCTGATCTTTTGCCTCCATTTCAGCTTCTCTCTCCAACTTCCCCCACCCGCAAGCCCCACTGGCCTCTTAGTCCATGCCACGTTTGCCCCTTGTGTCCCCTCCCTCCTCGTTGGGGCTTTTAACCTCCTCTCGTTCTCCCCCACGCCTTTTTGAGGGCGGAGGCTGCTGTCTCCCCTTGAAACGGTCTAGGCCTCCCTGGGGCAACCCAGCTCCAGGGAGCAGCGTCTTGTACAGAGCCTGGTCAGTTGGAGGGAATGCCCCATGGACGGGCTGGTCTCTTCTGGCCATCCGTCTGCTGCGCCCTTGGTGACATCAGGCGCTGAGCACTTCCTTGTCGCAGGCTGAGGTGACCAACAGAACCTCCTCCTAAGCCAGCCGCATCACGGTCGCCGGCATTGTCGGCGATTAATATCCTAGGAGAAAACGGTACCTTCCCAATAAGGGTCTAGCTGGATGTGTCCGTGATGACCTGAAGTAAAAGAGCCGGCTGAGTTCAGGCACAGGGCCGACTGAGGGGCAGGCGTTTTCCACAACACCCTGGCCCCCACCCACTCTGACCGGAGCGATTGCTCTGAGCTGACTCACGTGCAAGTGGCTGGTGAGTGTGATTGTGATGTGGCGCTCCTGTCCTAAGCAGCAGCAAGAGGCTTCCTCTGGAAATGCAGCACACCGTGTGTCGGGGCCGCTGCTCTCTGAGAAGGGACTGGGGGGGCAGACTGCTGTCTGGTTCACATGCTGGCCAGGGGCCTCCTTTAGACTTCATAGCCTCTGAGCCCAGCAGAACTAAAGCGTGTTGCCAAGATGCAATATAAAGCCTTCCTGATACTTCATCAGTAAAGACAATCTGAAGGTGAATGGCCATGCCTGGCTGAGAGCGGAGTCTTCAGGGTACTGCCAGGTCAGTGCATTTGCATTCAGGCCAGGTAGCTGTCGGAGCGTGAGGTATTCAATCACAAAGTGACACGGCTTCTCCAATGTGTGAATGAGGTTCTGCTTCCCTAGCCGTGGAATTGCAGCCCCGAAGGAGCATTGTGCAAAGCAATGGCTACCCCTTTGACACTAGCTGACAGGATAATAAACCAGAGCTGCAAAAAAGGCGGTGCTCTCGAACGGAGAGCATGGGCACCGCAGACGTCTATTAAAACAGGGAGACCCCGTCTAAAACCGGACCTTGGAAGGCCAGTTCTCGGCTTTCAAAAATACAAAGTGACCGACAGGATCCACAAGACGCACAGTTACCTGCAATGACACCTGCCTCCACCCAGAGCCCTCTGGGTGCTGCTAAACTAACTCTCATAGCCTAGCACAGCAGGGAAGGGAGTCCATTGAATTTGGGGGGAACGAAGGGTATGTCTCTCTCCAGCAGTGCCTCCCAAGCTCCAATATGCATCGCCAGGGCTCCTGCCACTTCAGATCTAGCTTGTATCCCAGCCCCCGCACTCTTCACTGCAATGGGTCTATGCTGGGCCCCCCTTCCACTGTGCAGGCTCCTGCTCCTATGGGAGCTTGCAACCACCCCGGGCTGAGGTTTGCAGTAGCCCAGTGTCTGTCTGAAGGGGAGGTAGTGCACACTGGGTAACACACACATCCCCGCGTCAACTGATGTGATGGCCTGGGACAGCTGGAAATCAGGGCCCTGAACTAAAGTTGGAGCTTACTGGTAGGATCTAGCACTTACTGATCCTCTTTGCTTGGACACCATGTGATGAGCACCTTACCAACACCCGGGTGAGCTCGGTGAATGATTAAATGCCCCCGTTCCCTTAATCACATATTTTTATACTGATGAAAAGTGCTATGTAAGACCTAGAGATTATTACTCTGTTGCATGGAATAGCTGTGGTAGGTCACCTGTCTGCATCCTGTTTCAGTCATCACATAGAA